AATCGCCAGACTAAGGGTTGAGGTGTGTGGTAGGAACGTAAACGACGAATGTAGTAAAGAAGCTTACGAACTTTAACAAATAGGGACTCAATATGGAGGGAAAAAGAAAGATTTGAGGACAAAGTAACGCCGAGATACCTGATAGAGGATACTTCGTTAGGAAGAATGTCAGAGGAATCAGGGTTAGGAGAGGGTCGCAGTCGAAAAATGCACTGCACGGATTTTTGGTTGTTAATTAGGAGACCATTTTCCTCCGACCACGCTAGGACATGGTTTAGGCCATCTTTTAGAGACCGGAGGTGTGTCTGACTTTTGAGAGGGTGTCCAACAACCACATCGTCAGCATACTTGACCAGAAGACAGTCATTAGGGGACCTGAGATCATCAGTGTGGAGGGAGAAAAGGTGAGGGGATAGAATGGAACCTTGAAGAACACCGCAGTCATTGGGAAGGGTCGAAGATTTCCGCATTGAGAAGGAATCATTTCAGCCTAACTCTCCGGCCACCAGTTAGCCGCTCCACATAAACACGCAGAACTGGGTCGTCTGCGAGGTCCAAGTTATCCTGTCAGTTGGCAACCTTCCAAGCCAGGGCTTTTAGAGTACCGTCATAGTTCAAAGCGCGTCAGCTTGTTTGCAGTGAGGAAAGTGTCCTGAGTCGTCGACCTCATTCTACCTTCTCATCCCCAGACCCCAGTCAGTGTCCGAGCCGTTCAGTTGACTGAAGCGGGGAGTGGGCGCGGTGGCTGACATAGTCTAGTGACCTTGTTTGCCTGCGCCACATTCACGACCTGGCCCGCCAAACACAAGTACCAAGATTTTACACACTGGGGGTGAGCGACTTACATCTCACATGCTTGAGAGTGTCGCAGGTCACGTTGAAAAGGAGTCGCTTCAGCCTGACTCTCGGTCCACCGGTCTGCCACTCCACACATATAAATACACAACTGGGCTGACTGCGTGGACTGAGTTGGGGCATCAATCGGCAGCCTTCTTTGTCACGGCACTTGACGCACCGTGATAATCTCAGACTCGGATCACACATGTAGCAGAGGAGCCGCATGTAAACGGAGCCGAGACGTACACTTCCCATTTGAGTGGGAAGTGGCATTTGAATGCTTGTTGTTGGTAATGATGTGTATTTCAGGCGGGGAGAGATGTGATGGTGTAGTGTAGCCGGCGGTTGTTTACCGTTAATTTTCGTGAATGCACATATGACCTAATAGGCTCATGCGGTGGGTGCATGTGACGGTGCAGTGGGGCAGTTGAGGCTGACGCGTCGGGCGTATGTGGGTGCTCCAGGCACTGATTCGCCAGTCTCTGTGCGATGGATTGGCAAGTGGCCGACCAGGCCGATGTGTGAGACGAAGGCGCGGGAACAGTGGGGGCAAGAGCGATCGGTGGTGCCAGAGTCGGTTTCGATGATGGCGGCGGCGGTGGGGCTGCTAGCGATGGGCCCGACTGGCGGTGGTGTGTCGTTTAGACTAGGCGTCGTGGATGTGCAGGAGATGCTAGGTGTTTAGACGCTGTGATGAATTCCGCTTTCGTGGATGCACATGTGCTCTAGAAGGCCCATGCGGTGAGTAAATGTGCTGAGGCGGTGTGGACAGTGGAGGCAGATGCGGTGAGTACAGTATGGTGCTTCAGACACTGGTTTGCCAGTCTCTGTGCGATGGATTCGCAAATGATCGGCCAGGCCGATGTAAGAGGTGAGGGTCCGATCGCAATTAGGAAAAGTACGTACCGAGTCCAAATCGTTGGTGCTGACGGCGTTGATGTTGATGTTTGTCGGTATGTCAGGATTGTACATAGTGATGGTGGGTACATGAGCCGCCGCAGCGGACGTTGAGGCGGTGTAGGATGGCAGTGTGGGCTCAGGAGTGCGGTCAGTGTTGATTGTCAGCCTCGGGGCGAGGCAGAGCTGGAAGGGGACACCGGCTGATGTCGTCCGGGTGCTACAGTTGGCAAGACGATGCCCGATGAGATCGGTTGGTACCCCGAACGTCCCTTGTCATCGTGAGCAGGTCAGGGGTGGTCGATTGTTGACGTTGCGAGGTGGGCGCTGTTGAGATTTGCGAGCTTGCTCTTTTGCTTTGGCGGCAATGATGCAGTTGGCCACATAGATCACTGCGCCTGTCTTCGCTGTCCTCTCTTAGGTCGGTCGGTACCGAGCGATGTCTTCCCAGTTGGTCGCGTCTATTTGCACGCGCCTCAGGGAAGTCTTCAGGATAACCTTGTAGCGCCGGACTTGACGTTCTTGTTGGCGGGAACCCGTGGTGACAGTTCCACAGAAGAGTCGTTTTGGTAACCTCTCGTAGTCCAGGCGCAATTGGCCGCTCCAGCGCAGTTATGACTGTCTTAACATAGCATAGATGCTGAGGATTCCGGTTAGTTTCAGTACGTCTGTGTCCGGGATCCGGTCTACTTCAGTTTCAATATTTGTCAGAGGGAGCTGAGGTGGAAGTGGTTGAGTCTTCGTGCCTGTTTTTTGTACACCCTCTAGGTTTTCGTCCCATACGGCAGTGTCGGCAATTGTACGTCTTCAGTTTGGTGTTGATGCGGCGACCTTGTCAATTCCAAACTGCTTCGCAGACGACCGAGGGCTTGGTAGACCTAAGAAGTCCGACGGGCTACTTCATCGTCGAGTTTGATATTGCGAGAGAGGGTGCGGCCCAAGTAGGTGAAGTTGTCCACGGCTTGCAGTTGGGCGCCGTTCACGTTGATTTAGGGTGCGACGTAGGCAGAGTCGGGTGGTTTTGATGCATAACCGCCGACTCCTCCATGTTGATGATTAGGCCGAAGTCGTCGCAGGCGGTGGCGAAGAGGTCCATGCTCCTTTGCATGTCCCCTTTGGAGGTGGCGTTGAGAGCACAGTCGTGGGCTAAGACAACTTCATGGATGGAAGTTGCGGAAACACGTGACTGGAAGTGCATCCGACGCTGATTGAAGAGTTTTCTTTCATTTTTATACTCGAAGGAGGGATATAATTCGGTTTTAAAAAAGTTTCTAATTGTGAGACTTTTAAATACCGTGAAATGGACGTTCATAAAACGTCATATCTCTGCATTTACCAATATGGCTTGTAAAGTTAACAATATGGATCAAATCCAATGCTAAATTTTATGAAACCCCATATGGTCTCCCCTCAATACCGTAGAGAAGTGTGGTCTTCCGTACGCGGAAAATACATGGCTTGTAGTTTAGAAACCCTAACTGCAAGTGTGACGGCAGAGCGAGTTCAAAATTATTCGGGAATTAGAAAAATTTTTGAAAACCGAATAATACTCTTCCGTCGAGTATAAAACTGGAAGAAGGCGTAAATTTCTACCGAATGAGCGGAAGAATGAATATTTTTATGCATGCTTTCTATGAACTATTATTGGATTTTTAGAGTCATCGAAAATCAAAGACAAAAATGCATGCTACTTAAGTAGCCATTTTTTGCAGAGTATAGTTCGTGCATGCAGCCGGAAGGAAGTTCATTCTAAAGCCGGCACCCTGAGGTAACTGAATTATTATAGATTTATGCTGCGCGGTGGTTAGTTTTACAACGGTACTTAATTAATCTTTTCTAAACGAAAACACATTTCGGAATTTTGGTTGACATTTCATGACTTAGCCCACCTACTGTATATGTTTGTATTAAGTACTTTTTATTTGGGCCAAAAATTACTTTGCCGTCAAATATTTGGCCATTATCTGGTTTGGATTTGCCCGGCTCAGCTAAGCTCCCTTAATTTGAAATACTTACGACTTAATGTTTCCCTAACTCACTCGTTTTCGACACATTTTTCTTTTATTTGTGTTACCGCCTCAGTAAGCAAATCAGACTGCCTAATTTTCGATTTTCGTTCTTTCTCTGTGAAAATTTTCCGAACGAAATGGCTACATACAGTTCATCTCTTTATCTAATAGTATAAAGTATATTCGTACGACTTCTCTTTGTTATAGCTGCCTCCCTTCATTTCCAGCTATATAGAAAGTCGGGGAGATTTTACAAACAAACCTTTAATAAACGAGGCAAATGTACTGTGAGTCTGCTTTGTGATCACACGTGGGGCTTGCGCCAGACCTTTCAACGAGCCCTGTGTCCTCCTTTTCGGCATCCTGACCGTATTTTGTCGGGTGGGACTTAAATAATGCATGCATCAACGTCCCTCCTTCACTATACTTTGTTTAGAGTGCTTATAGCTTTGCTTAGATAAAAATGCAGTAAGTAATATAAAACACAATGATGTTTGATATGGGGGCCGCGTAGCGAAAAGACGACTGGAACATTGTTTTGAACGCATGGTGATTTGAGATTTCAATCATGGTAATTCTGGAGCGCGGTTGTCTGTCAAATGACCGCCCATGTTCAACTGCCTCAGGATACATACCAAAAACGTAGTGGTCAAACAGATAGTGCATAGATGACTTATTAAACCCTTGCCAGTAACTGGAGTCAGCAAGCGAAATACTCGAAAATCCTGGCGGACGATGGAAGGCACTGTAATCACTGTATGATGGACGTGCATTTGTCGGAGTTGGCAAGACAGCAGTTGTGGATTTGGTGCATATTTTATCATAAACAACATGGTCGTAGAGGAACAACTTTCCACCAATTCCTGCTTGATGGAAAAGGGGAGTGGGAACGTTCTACATCGGTATTGTCCAAATTTAAAATGAAAAATATCCTCCGAAGATTGATGCAGCTTCCTTTAACTTGACCTGCTGTTGTAAATGCGATCATACGATATTAGTGACAGCTGCCCTTACGGATAATTTTATTGATCTTCCAGGTATAAACGCAGCGATAAAATTTTATTGACTTCCAAAAATACTCATATATACAATGCTCATAAGAGTGAAGCAGGCACGACTGGAAAGGTCCTTCCACACAGATATGCAACAACTGATTGCAATATATGAAAGTTACAGTACAGGGGTTGGAAGCGAATATCAGTGACTATCTGGTGCGAGCAAACAGTTTGACACGAATAAGCAGGCGTACATACGACAGGTAAGTGGGCTGCACAAAGGTCAGTGACACGTCTTTCAATTAACTACTTGCCTTAGTAGGTAGGTGATGGCCTTGCCGGAAAGCTCTACCCAGTACTAGGTAGAGAAAAATATTCAAATAAGTGCAGCTGTCTGATCGTTTATTGTGATCCTTCTATCGGTCGGGCACGGTTCTGAAGAAGGCGATGTGAAGCTTGTCGTCGATCGTTGAATATGGCGAAGCATCTGTTCTCTGAACTCCCAATATGCACTGAGATATTGCATGTAGAACTATGTTTACTCGTTAAGAAAATTAGACGGGGGTGAAATTGCACTTAGTCAGAATATTCATGCGTCGTGTCAGGCGATTACCAAAAACAGCAGCTGTTTCGAACATGCAGACTTGACTCGATGACATCCCTATCGGATTTCTTTTTGACGTACTAATTGCGCTGTACGTTAGTTTTTTGGATCCTATAGGAAGTTCTGGACTGTGTCACACTCCACGGTTCTTCACTCCCAGCTTTTAGTTATCGGTAATTGTTTCCAATTATGACACATATTTTACAGTCCGACGCGTAGTTGTCTGCTCTGAATTAGATTAACGAAGAAGGGATTTCGGATCTCTAATACGCTATATATGACCGCATTCTTGTCAAAGCGTGTTCCTTCGCAGAACAATAAGTTTAAAAGAAGGTATCCGCTCATAGGCTGTGGATACATCTGTCCGAACTTGATGCAACAGAAATACTTCACGCAAAATCGCAACAGGCCTTGAGAAATGAACCGTAACAGACGCCCACCATCTGATTGAGACACATTTTCGGTTCGCAATAAATCTCAAAATACAGTTTGTGAGAAAGCCTCTGTGCAAAGTGTGAAGAGCACTACGATAATTTGAAAATAGATTTTTACCGTAAACCCATGTATATCCACGTCTACGTATTTGCATAAAGAACTTACCCTTGCGAGTTTTGTGTAACTTGTTCTGACTCACTCTAATTTAGGAATTTTAAGTTGGTTCGGTTGGAATGCTCCTACTTTGGTATTACATCAGAATTTCTAGATGCATTTTTGTGAAAGAAATAATTCCTCAAAGTTCCTTTTTGTTGCTTGCTACATTCCTATTAAGCTAGGATTTCAACGGTGGGCAAAAGAGCGAACCTCTAGACGAATTGCCATCCTTTACATGTGAACATGTTGGAAGAAAGAGAAAAATGCATTTGCATCTCGAAAAAAATATTCCACATATTAGGGTAGGCTTTCATGGGTCGCCATGGCCAGTATATAATTGATTGAAGGTTGCGGGAGAAAACCAACACATAAGATATGACTGTCATTGTAATGAGATTAATGTCAGCTTCTGAAATGTAGCCTCGGGTCAGAAATTGCACTGAGAATGGCATAAGTGATCACAGGTATTGCCTGATACTGCCTGCAAGAATATTCTGTGCTAGTGTAAAAGATTGAATTTAAGTTATTCAGGGTTTAACCGGCATTTAAACGATTATTTTGAGTTTTTATCTCATTTACTGCGTGATTTTGTCATAGAGTTCTCAAACGGATACTGGGAAATTCAGGGATTCCAGCACTTACATAACTCCAGCTAAATTGGAGACTATTACTTTCAAAGAAATCGGGTCATTGATATTTTCTGCCAAAAAGCATTATTTACATGAGGTTTGGCTTTACACTGACTGATCATATACTCGCAGGACATGCCTTTAAGTGCATTGCCAGCTATCCGCTATAGAACGGAGATGTGTTGTCGACAAAAATTAGGGAAATCAGACTTACGTTTCCGTCATATTAAACATCATCGGCTCACGACTTCGACCCCACGTGGTAGCGCACCACAGATTCGAATTTATAGTAGCAAAAATACGATTCGCAGGTGACACACCAAAATAAGAGGAGGCGTTCACAGGGCGGGGTTTATCAAAAGTCCGACGTTTCAAATAGATGCCTCGTCTACCCATCTACGGAGACTGAGAAGTCGACGAGGGCGGCGCGATTCAGGCCATGGTGACACGCGGATCGGATGCAGCTGCACAGGCGGCATGGACGGGCCATGCATCAAACGAAGTGCGCCATATAAAGGAAGCTGTGAGCATGACTTTCTGATCTCTGAAAATGGGTGGACGAAACAACTACTTGAAACGTCGGACCTCTTATAAACCCCGCCTGGTGAACGCCTCCTCTTCTTTTGAGATTCTGATTTGTTAAGTTGATCATTTGACATGGATTGGGTCGAAGCAAAGGAGCATATCAACCTATTAAGGACACCCCTTTTCATGTTAGCATTAACACTGCTCCTCTATATAAAACATCAAAACGTGGGTGATGAAAGTCCGAATTATAATGTCCCGCCTGAATGTGAAGTCCTTTGGAGTGTCATTGTTTCCTGAAGAAAAAATATAGAAGATATTTAGCGCTAATCGCTTATAGTCGTGTCACGTGGCAATACATTTTACCAAATGACAAACATAAACAAGAACGTTCCCAGTGTCCGCTCTAATATATTCGTTTGCACAACTAGCAAATATGGACATAATCTCTTCTTGTGGGACAGCGGAGGCCATAAAGCCAGTTGCCTGCTGACTTTCTTCAAGGCTGTCCATGATGAAACAACATTTTCGCGGAGTAAAAGCCCTCTCATAGAGAGAACATGGCATGCTCCTATCCCCGTTTGCTGTTTAGGTATAAGCTTTTGCTTAGTACCCACCATCTTGACACAGGACCTTTCAACACACTTTTCAACCAGAAAATTGTCCAAAATCATCTTTTCTGTCGTCATCCGCCTTCTGAAGAAGGCAAAACCGCTTCCCTTAAACAAACCAAGATTGTTTTTTGTCATTCACTCGGTTGAACCTCAAGCTGCGTTCTGTCTGTCATAACGTAAACTAAACATATCGTCCAAGAACGTAGTATCCACTCCTTATAGAAACATGAT